ATGGATGAGAAAATGGATGTCCAAGTATTGATAAATAATTTTGCGGAAATGAAGGTTAGGAGATGCAAATTTTAAAAGAAGAGTTTTTTTTTTTTCTCTTTATGATGAATTTTGGCCACCAGTGTTATCATTACACTTATTGAGGGAGGAAAAAATTAGAGAAGTGCAGTACGGACTGAGAAAAATTAAAAGGAAACAGTAAAAAACTTTAGCATTCATATTTTTTATAAAAATCATGTATTCAAGTAGTTTAGTGCACCAAAAGGTTTTTTTAAAAAGACAGACAAAAACTTTACCATACATATTTTCTACAAAAATTGTATGTTCAAATTGTTTTCTTTATGAAGTTTATGAAAAATATGTTTTATATTTAACAAATGTATCATTTACATTATAAAAGTTGTTATTTATTACTTGTATATTGTTGCATAAATCATGTTCGTAAGCTGAGTAACTCACAGAGTACTATAGATTAATGTAATAGTTTTTCTGTACGTTTATCAATTATCTTGTCTGTCAGTTTATGATATAACTAATTATTTATAAGTTTGCTAACTTAAGCGAAAAAACTTAGATAGGCGCAGATTTTATACAAAAATTTAAAACATTAGTATGTAAAACTTCTTGGATTTTATGTAAAATTTTCTGCAAATCTAGGCTTTCTTCCTTTTCTTAATGCTATACGTCGACATGTTCCTTTTTTTATATAGACTTATTCATTTATTATCAGTATGCATTTCAGTGAAAGAAGAGAAAAATCTCTCGCATTCACACAAAAAGTCTTAAGTAACTGAATTAAAATCATCTGACGTCAAATACCCAGACTAAAGCAAATTTTTATTTCATCAGTTGGTCAAGGGAAATTATTTTCCTTTTTATTCTTTCTTCATGTTACGTACCTTTCAACTGGTTCCCTAAGAACGTGCTTTTATTTTTTAACAATTAATCCAGATGTGATAAAAATCATGATGTAAACATTGGCTCCTGGAACCCTTGATAATTTTTTTTTAAACTTTTCAAGGTTTTTTTTAAAATTTTTAAATTTTTTTAAATTTTTATTTTTAAGCACATTAAATTTATTTGGGAAGGGGCCCAGGAAAATTTTTTGCATAGAGGCCCAAGAGTTATAGTTACGCCACTGACTAAGAGCAAGCATACATGCCGCTAGGTTGTCATCATTCCATGCACTATTCCTAAAGCATGTAGGCTCCTCAGATCATTGTTTCTGCTGTGGAGAAGTATGTTGTTTAATAGTGACATTAGGATTGAACCATTGAGAGAGATCATTCATACTCATTTATGATTATCATCTATTTCAAAAATAAAATGGTACTCATCAGTAAACACCATGCATGTGTGCACTGTGTGTGGGTGTTGTAACATATCCCCTGACACCATAATGTATATGACATCATTAATATTTATAGCCTTTGATCTCTTTGCTCCCTTGTATCATGTTATACATGGAGGAAAACTGTTGCATGGGCCTATCATATCAAATGTAACACAGAAGCAGTGTGTCACTGGCAGCCTTACATATCATAGTTGATAAACTTTATTGAATGGAAAGGCTTTAGTGATAATCTTGTTGTTATGAGAATTATTTACTATTTTATTGTACAAAATAAAATGCATTTATGCTTACAATGCATTTTCAGAGTTAAGAAATTTTTCATGCAGTGCATGTGATTTAATTGGTTAGCCTATATTTTAGGGTGCCCTTTGGATTATCGCCAAGTTGTTGTTTCATTTATAGTAGCTGAATGATAGTAGAATGTTATTGAAACAATATTATGATGTGATTGCGGTGAATATGACCAATGGGAAAATGTTTGTAAGGGCTTATATCTGCTTTGTGTGCTTTTGCATCATAAAAGGCTGCCGGTGGTAAACTGGATGTTTGGTGGTATAGAATAAGACAGTGGAAGGTGTTTTTTTTTTTTTTTTTTTTTTTTTTTTTTTTTTTGGGGTGGTTGAGTACAGAAGAAAAGAAACTTTCTTGGATGTAATTCAAAGGAAGGTAAAAATATATTTATGGGTGCCCTTTGGTGATGATTAACGATTTTTGGCAGTACATGGACACCGAGTTTGTGCAATTCTTTTGACTTGTTATTTTGGCTTTGTGTAGCGTCGATTTTTGCGCCAAAAATCGCCACTACTCAAATCTAAAATAAGAAGTCAAAGAATTGCACAAACTTGGTATCCATGTACACATTGACCTATTTTCACTTAAAAAAAGATCAGAGAATTGCACAAACTAGGCATTGCACACTCCCTTGACTTTGTCCATGTACACATATTCACTTAAAAAGTCAAAGGAGCAGCCAACAAAAAATATATAATCTCAATAAACTATATATTAAATCAAACAATGAAATAACACAAAAAGGAAATTCATCTTAGCACTACTCAAAGGAAATATCCACTTACCTTATACACAAATTTCCCTGTCTTCAGTCAAACAAAAAATACCGAATATGTGCAGTTCTTAAAAATGCGTCAAGCAGTGGGTGATTCTGCACTTTACCCAAAATTCTATTGCACACTTTTCATCATGGGCAATTCCCAAATTGTTAAATCCATAGGATATCAAAAATGAATGTAAAATCAAAAAAGGATTTAAAAATTAAACTAGTAGTTCAATGGCGTCTTAAGAAATATAGAAGTATATAAACTTATGCAATCTGAAATCAGCGCGTACGCTAGATTTGGTGCTTTTGCGCATACATTTTACCTGTAAATTTTTTACGGCCCTCAAAACGGAATAGTACCATCTAGTTGTGTAGTTCTTTTCAATATTATGCATTTTTGTTGGCAAAAAAAAAAAAAAAAAAAAAAAAAAAAAAAAAAAAAAAAGAACATTGATCAAAATTGGTTTTTTTTTTTTTTTTTTTTTTTTTTTTTTTGTAGATTGAGAAATTTTATACAGCATTAAAAATTTCAAAAGTGGAAATATATATATATATATATATATATATATATATATCTAAAGATAGATATCTAAAAGACCTAGAGAGATAGATATCTAAAAAAAAAAATTCACTACAGAAAATGCAATGAACAAAATATGGCTGCAAAATGTATAAAATTATGTGTGTTGCTGTTTTAAACCGGAAGTAAATTTTTAATTATAAATTGTGATTTTGAGAATGGGTACTTTGTATTTTATTTCTGATTTCATATTTTGGTCCTGTACTTGTATTATGATGATCATTTATCTGTGTAAATGCAAAGCACTATATAATGTAAGGATACAGTCTCGTTAGCATTTTCAGTTCATATGTAAACATTTTAGAGTACTTTTTTGGTTTTTAATTAATGAAAACAAATTTGTATCAGAGATACAACATGAATTATGTCAGACATTGTAGCTGAAGGCTTCATCATATATGAATTCAGCCCCACTGAATGCAGACTTTTCTTTCTAGTTTTATATCACAAGGAATTGCATATAATGTAAAAGTTTGGAATGGGATGGGATAATAAAGTTAACAAACACACAGCTGCATTTGTTTTGAATCTTAGCGCCATGCTTAACAGCCTTGCTTTCTCCTTCTATTTATTCAAAACTTTTTTTAGCTCTTTTCTGGTACTTACGTATCACCTCATTAACCATGAAACTGTGACCAAGCAACAAGATTTAGTGACATTTATGGATGAGCATGATGTCACAACACATGTGTAACATCTCTTTTGTTTGATGTAATTCTGGTTGATTCTTGATAAGCCACCTTTTGTTTTTTTATAAACAAAAATGTAAATTAACTGTCTTTGCTTTGTTATTTTTCTTGCATTTTGAAAGAAATCATTAAAAACTTCAGTCTTGCCTTCTACAGAACAGCAAGCAGTAAATTATTTCCCAAGTTATGGGCCTTATAAAAAATGTGTGCATTAAAAAGACATGGGGTCAGCTAAATGTAGTCAACAAAATAGTAATCGTTTAGAACAATTACTTGTAGGAAGTTTGTTCTCATCGAGTTCTAAACAGAGCTTCTGGTAAAATTGGTGGGCCTAATAAAATAGTAGAAATCCATACAAGCCTTTTTATGAAGTGGGGCGAATGCCAATTGTTTTTAAAAAAGAGGCATTGGTTGCTTCAAAATTCCTCAGGAACGATTAGAGAAAATTTGGCAGGATCTCTGCCGACATTCAGGGTTTCATGGTAGACAACTTTTGCGCAAGTACCTTTTTCCCTTAATAGATGTTAGGGTAATTTTTAATTATCTGCACTGCCTCCAAAAAATCACAAATTTGTTAGTGACATTCGAGAACATTCAGGAACTCATTAGTGATTAATTCTTTGCAAAGCTAATGTGCAACAATCGTTTTCAAAATAGTAGTACACTACGAATTTTATACAACAGCAATGAATCAGTAAAACTAAAAAAAAGCAAGATATATCATTAAAAGAGCATAAAACCCTTCATTTCTTTTTCAAGAATCCCCCTTGTTTTGGCTGTTATTCTCCCCATGTACACAACAATCTGTTTTCACTTAAAAAAACATCAGAGAATTATATGAACTAGGCATATGTATGACTTTAGAATTGCACACCAGCCAAAATAAAAATACACTACACACATACCTGGATTGCCACATAAATACCTTTTGCTGCCATTGTGGGTTGTCATATAACTATTTTTGTGACGTACTGCTTTGCCCTATGAATAGTGTTTCATGACATTTTGGTGAGGACGCACTTAATCAGAAAGTACCTATGTTAATTAAAATTTATCATTTTAACAATAATATAAGTATAATTTCTGTTGTCTTTTAATATTAGAAATTCTCCGTAGAGTAATTTCTTTTAACTTCTGAAAATATGTAGTCTTGATTATCCTACACTAAATGTGGTTTTTCTAAATGAGATGTATTTTTAAAGCCTTTTGTTTGTGATAACCATAAAGTATGTATTCAGAGCAGACCCAAATCATTAAAATTTAAAAATTTATTTTTTTTATAAGAATGGTTTTAATTTAGCATACATTACATTTTTATGTTTGTATGTTTTAAAGTTTATTGCATTATTAATTATTTTTTCAGGTCACTAGGTCAAAAATGTATGTTCCGGTTCTTCTACTCGGTATCCTATTTAAATGTTTTACATTGCTTATTGCCGTAGAATCACCTGTGCCACCAAAGATGGAAAATTTAGAGAAGATACCATTCAAAGGGAAACCAGTTCCACCATGTCGTGCTTGTCGTAACCTTGTAGATTCATTTTTAAAGGTATCATTTCTGTTATGAGTAGAATGTTGGGAAAGAATGCATTTTTAAAATGTGAATGTCTGGTGATTTGTAGTTCATATTTTTAAAGTAAAGAGGAAGAATTATTCAATTTAGAAATCAGATTAAAGAACATATAAAAAAAAGGGCATCAAAATAAATAATAAATGATTTGGAAATTCTTTATAATTTCTGATAGTATGTTTTCAGAAATTTTAAATATTTTTTTCAGGCTGTAGATGAAACAGTGCGGAAGAGTTTTGAAGGTGGTGATGCCGATTGGGAAAAGAAGCTTGGAAGTTATGACAACAGGTTTTGTGTTACTCATTTGTACATATTAAGTAATTAAGAGTTAGTATAGAAACCTGAAGCATAAATGAAATTACCTTATTTAGCATTGCATATTTCATCATGTCTCTAAAACTGTAATGGAAGCTGAATAATTTAATTTAATTCTTTCAGTGAATTAAGATTTATAGAAATACAAGAACAAGTTTGCTCAGATGTTGGATTAGGAAAAGATCAGGTATGTAGTATCTCGCAAAATATATTTTTTTTTTTCTGTCAGTAATTTATATATTCATCACTTCACAGGAAAAAAGTCATGGGCTGCATGTTTGCTTATTATGTACTTTCATCTAAATACAATTCTGAATAGTGTAATTTTAGTGCAAATTGTGCATTTCTTCTAAAAAAGATTCCCGTATAGGCAGAATTTTTGCGAGGAAAAAATATGCTTTCAAGTCCCTTTTTGCCACTGGAAACTAACAGCAGATTAGTGAAATAAACTAAACAGAAAACAAATCATGTAAGTTAGTTAATTTTATTTGTATCAGAAATAATATTTTGAATCATTATTTGGTTTACTCACATTTGTTATGATTTATTTATAAAACCAGATAAAATAAATCATGAAGCTCTGTATAAAGGTTTTTATAAATTACTAGGTGGTGCTTGTGTCCAGTTAGTTCATTTGAACCTATGCATTGTTGAACTTCTGTCCATAAAGTGCTTTCTGATTCTGGTGGTTTGTTTGAACATTATGAACGAGATACAAAGTAAACAAAATGCATCTGTGGCCTCATGTGATATAAATATTGAACAGTTTTGAATACTTCAATTTCTCCCCCCCCCATGGGAGTAGAGCTGTAATTTTTGGAATACCCGTTTGTATTTAGTTTGCATCTTCTTTAGATAGTAGACGTAAAGTTTTTTCCACAGGTTAAGAGAATTTAAATAAGATTGCGATGCCTAAGAGAAAGAAGTTTTTAATGAAAGAAGAGTATACTTGAATGGTAAGGGAGCCCATGAGTTACTATTATGACAGCGAATACTCCCTACCTAGATTCCTAGATTTAAGGGAGAGGAGTGATTTGAATACCGAAATTTTTTCAAGGACTGAATTAGAACCTTGTTTCGCATTTAACTTACAATCCAACATAACAGTGGACTTCATCAGGGACTTGATCTTTTGCTTTTTGGGAAAAATCAAGAAAATACCAGAATATTCTTGTGCACGTTTAAAAAGCTTATAAAAGCAGGATCAAAACATCTCAATTCAGTTGTTTAGAAAACTGTTGTTATTTACTATAGCGAATTCGTGGTGAAATCGGATTAGCTTTCTCTTTTTTGAATCAATTCTGTTGAACGTTTTGGTGGCTTAAAAGATAACCACTGTAATTATTGTGATACTGTTACTTATTGTGAGATATTGCAATATTCTACGAATATCTGAGGAAATTTAATCATTTTGTTTTTATTTGTTGTGATAAAAAAATTGATTCACTTTTCATTGTACTTGTGCATTCAATTTATTACCAACCCGTACGCATGCAACACTTTTTGGTGTCAGAAATGAGATTTTGAATGCCAGTAACAAGAGCGACGCAGGAGTTGTTGAGACAGCTGATGGCAGTCTTTGCTACATTTAAAGAAGAGATGAAAGATTGCAGATTGCATTAAAGAAGGGATGAAACTGTTAGAGTAAAGGTGGATGCTGGTCAAGAAGAGATGAAATCGTGCCAAGAATCTATTAAAGAAGAGACGAAAGCTATTCAAGCTGGCCAAGAATCAGTTAAAGAAGAGATTACTTTCATAATAGAAAACAAATTTGAGTTTATGGAAGGCAGAATAGATGCTGTTGAAAATAAAGTTGAAGAAATTCAAATTATTCATGTTAAAGAACAAATAAAAGAGAGAGTTTCTGCTGTGGAGCAATGAATTGAAGGAAGAGTTTCGACAGTCCAACAGCAAATCCAACAACAAATGTTAAAGAACAAATAGAAGAGAAAGTTTCTGCTGTGGAGCAATGAATTGAAGGAAGAGTTTCGACAGTCCAACAGCGAATCCAGCAACAAATTGAAGAAAACGTTTCTGTCGTCCAAGGAGATATCGAGCAACAAATTGACGACAGGGTTTCTGCAGTTGCGAAAAAAGTTGATAATTTAATGATATTCGTAGCGACGGCAGGGAGCATTTCGGATGGTTTTAAATTTCTCACCATGGATGTTGAAAGGCTGTCCCATCTCGCCTTTTCAGAGTGCCCGATGGAAACAAGGAAAATACTGTCCCTGCAATACTGCATCGACAGCATCTGTGATTCTAAAATACAGAAAGTTCTGCAAATGGCGGATGTCAAGGACGTAAAAAATTGCTCTAGTGTATGCCATGAAATTCGAGGCAGCCCAGCAAGCAACTCATAGAGATTGCTACCCAGTCAGAGCTGTGCGAGTCCACGTCCTTTCATGTTTTCAGTTGATCCACAAGTGCATGCCCATGTAATCAAAAAGAGCATATCTGGTTGTCTGGCACCTGGGTATTTTTTGAAAACAAACAAAAAAAGCTTTCAAACTCGTAAAAAAGAAAGCATAACAATGATGTTCTTTTTACTAAGCTAATACTATTTGTTGCCTGCAGATATTCGTATGAGATGATCAGTGAAGTTGCAAATGCAGTACACCACTGACAGTGATTTTGTTTATTTTTTGTTGTCTTTTGGAGTATTCCAGTAATGTGGGAATTTTATTTTGTCATTTTCAGTATTAGTCTTTGACATTTAATTTCTGGATAATTGTAATGCAGTATTTTTTTCTAAAACTTATTTTTCTAAAGTGTTCTAATACAATTTAGCCATACCTGTTAATAATAAATCCTTCCTTTTACTTGTGATTCAGTTGAATAATCACTGTCAGGTAAAATATCATTCAAAATATCAATTCATATTATAGAAGTAACATTATTATTTCTATATAATATAACAAAAGTCTTGTCATCAGACTGTTTAATTAATTAGTTATCAGCTTAGAATGCCAAGTTTATAGATAGGCATTTCATTGCCTTAGGTCAAACAGCAAAACATATTCCTTTGAATGCTTTCTAATTCTCTTGGAAAGAATCACTAACCTAAGAATCTGTAAAGAGTTGCACATAAACCAGAAATTTTAATTCCAGTCAACAATGAAAGGGATTTTTCATTATCGACGTTTTCCTTTTAAAGAATATGACCTGCGCTGTTCTGAATGAAAGGGCCTTTTCATTTCTAAGAAATTTTTCACATGGTACTCTAGAAATCTCATTCATTGTGCTTGTTGGCAAATTGTTAAATTTATCTGAATGTCTTAATATAGCCAAATTATATCTACATAGCTTCAAATAATACATACCAATGGCTATAGTAATTTGCCTATTGAAGTTATAGATAAAACAATATCATTGATAAGAGGTGCAGACAATAATGACTTTTAGATTTTCTAGTAATTATTTAATTTTTATGCTTTGAATATGTCCTAGCTTCTTAGTCCTTTTCATATCTTGAGTATCTCTAAATGTTTGTTTCAGCCATTACATTTGTGTTGAAAGGTTTATTTTTTTTCTTCACGTGGTTTAAAAATGTGCTTGCAGCAATAAGTATTAAAGGTTTTGTGCATATAACTGTTTTGAATAGCTAAGATTTTTCGATTTGATCATGTGGCTAGATTTCCATATTTGCTTATTTTATTGTTTTCTGAATTCTTTTTTTAAGATGTTTAGATAAAAGGAATTAAGAGAGCAAAATATTTTGCTTAACAATGTACTATAATAAATGTAGCAGCAAATCACATAAGATAAATGTTTCAACTAATGAGAAGATTTAAATAATGAATTATGTCTAAATATGAAGATAATTCAGCAATTGAGAAGTTGAACTGTTCTAAGCTATACGAATAGACTATTTCAAGACAAGCATATGATATATGGCTTGTCATTTACATGCATTTAATACTAATTTGTATGGTGTTTGAAACTGGAAACATCTGCATGATGTGCCATTGCACATTAGTTGTATAAAAATGTTATTTTTAAATTCCAAAATTTAGATGAATGTTTTTCATTAGTATATTAGTTTTATAAATACTTCTGAATATTTTTTTTTTCCTTTTTTTTTCAGTGTTACAACTTGGCAGAACTGCATGAATCTGAACTAGAAAATTGGTTTTATGAAGAGAGACACAAAAATATAGATCTTTTTGAATTTCTTTGCATAAATCATTTAAAAAGTATGCATTTATTTTTTTTACATAAAATATGTGTTTATGATTTATAAATTTTGTTCAATGTATCATCTGTAGTAAATTTTATTATTCACTCTAAACTGCATGAAAAGAATTTCAGACTCAGACATATAAAAAATTAGCATTATCTCCTTGAGGAAGTTTTAAATATTAACATTTGTAATTAAAACCAGCCATTTGTGTGTGAAATGTTTTAAAAATATGTTTATGCACTAGATTGTATTTTACAATTAACATATTCAAGGTTACGGGAATCACATAACTACTCTAAAAATATTACAAGGGTGATCAATGTAGCTGTCGGAAAACATTGTTTTCTTTGTGGAGTATTTGGAAAGTATTAGTAGTTTTTTCCATGTGTATTGTGAGTGCAAGACAATTACCCTAGAAAAGCCTTCCTCCTCATGGCATACATAGCTTTTATGTGCTTGGCATATTCAGATAACATAAAAAACCAAAGTAGTAGTTTTTCTGTCTTCTGCACTGAACTGGTGCAATTATTACACTGTATAGCTTGAGGTTGTTTGGATACCCGCTATCACCTGAGAAAGCTGTCATTTAGAATCAAGTCTTCTTGGTTAAACAGAGAGCCAAAAGACCTGTTTACCTTTTCAATAATGTTTAGCCTGCTCTTTGTTAACAGTATTTGAGTATTAAATTCAGTCCTTGCTTCAATATTTCCATTTGTAATTCATGTTTTTAAAAATATATATACAGGAGTTTATACCCCCTTTACACAAACTGGCTTATCAGAGTTATTGTAATATTTCTGGTTTTGAAAGTGAATGTTGATTCTGTTTAATATAGCTTTGGCAAAATGAATAAATGAACATTAAAATTAAAAGTTGTGCAATTGGGAGAGTTACTCTATTTTACAGTTTTGTATTGCACATTGACTGAAATAATTGTGCATGAAGTTGGAGTCATTTATGAACTGATCAAAATTTATCATTCAGATTTTTTTAATTTTTTGTTTGTTTGTTATTTTACAGCAGTTAATAATGGAAGCAGCGACCTTTATTATAAGGCAATTCTTTTTAAATTAAAAGTTAGACTAAAAAATTAGCATTTTCTTGCTACTACTTTCCTTCAAAACAAGTTAACACATCATCTGCACTGTTGAAATATTATGAGAGCAGTAATTTGAAAATAATCAGATTAGGATGAATTATGTTTTGTAAACTTAATTATCAGTTGGTTGGCAAAACCTAGTATTTTTTTACTGTAAACCAAAATGAGGGTAAGACAGTAATAGCAGATACAAAACAAGTAACTAGTGCAGGCATGACCAGATTCTAGCTTTTTGCCTATTAATTATGTCTTATACCAAATGGTAATTTTATTTTTTTAATGTAATTTGAAAGAGAAATTATACTGTGGCATGCTTTCTTTAAAAATCATTATTTTAATTTTTTAAATTTATACCTTAAAGTTTGCAACATGTGTTATAAGTATTTCTAGTATTTTAAATGGTTATGTAGATTTTAATCTTTAAGATTCTATCATGTATTTAATAACTCTGAACAAATTTTCAGTGCCGATGATATATTTAGAGATGCTTTTTTTAAAACCAGCAGTGACTACCAGATGGAGAGGGGGGGAATTCAGTGACAGTACTCAGTGTTAATGATATACATCAAATATTACTGAATGGAACTGCAGATAGAGTTAATTATAACTTACACTTTGAATGCAAAAGATATCTTGATCTAATTTGCACATAATGAATTCCTTAAGTGATCTAAAGTAAAATGAGTATGCTAGTCACATAAGATCATATCTGGATCCTGACATTAGCTGTGTCATGTCCTGTCTGAAGGTTAGCATCATTTTCTACCCACTTCCAAGTTCATTTCTTAGGTTGATACTTGTTGACGATAGTTAGTCACTTAGAGTATGCAGACAGAAGCAAATAATGCTAAACCAATTTTATGCTTTGATAAAAAGAGGTTAGTGCAATCAATACATAAAGAATGCTGATAAAAGCAAAGAATACAGGTAACAGGATTACACAATCAGATAAAATTGGACAAATCCCAAAAAAACAGCCCAAGTCTTAATACAACCAAATCATCGCTTGAGTAGCGTGAGATCTCATAAAAAGAAAGTTTGCTTACCAGACCTGGTTTATTTTTGTGATCAATTTACAGATGCTATTATCAAATCATATGAAGCTCCTCATGGTGATGGTCAGGTGATTCCTTCTGGTTCAGCAGCTAAACAGGATTCTTCTTTCCTTTTCCCATATATGGTCCTTAACATCATCAACTCTTTCTGCAGTTCTCTTTCAACTCACTCACTGCAAACCTTCTCTAAAAATCTTAATTTCATATTTCCTGCTATCCCTGGGACCACCACTTCTTCTTTCCACCCTTCATTGGTCAACATCGCCTGCCATTCAACATCATCACTTGTTCAGTGGTCACCCACCTTTCCCATTATGACATTAGTAGAGAAGAAGCAAGACCATAATGGCTGCCACATGACCTTTATGGCAATAAGTGGGATCACTAATTGTTGCTACATGACTTATACCAAATGTTAATGTACTTAATGTAAATGTCACTTAATTTTTAGGGCCCACCAGCGGCCGAGTGGTAAAGTCGTTGAACACTGGTAGTTCAGTCCAAGGTTCGAATCCCACGAACGGGCTGGCTGCATGGGTGTTTTCGTGGTTTTCCCCATGTGTAACGTGTATACGAGCCAGTTTTCCTTAGAAAGTCCTCCATGAAGGCACCCCTCCCCTTAGACAGATAGCCCTAGTGTGCTTTGCCATAATTAAATACACCACCACTTAATTTTTAATGAAAAAGGAATTTTCATGTGCGTTCGTTTTTAACAAAACAATTATTTTTTCAGTATGCTGTCCGAATAATACCTATGGTCCTGACTGTGTACCTTGTCCTGGTGGCATTGAAAGTCCATGTGGAGGTCATGGTAAATGCTTGGTAAAGGAAATTTATTTCTTTTAAAGGCAGTGTATATTGTAAAAATAATACTATTTTTTAGCCTAGAATATTATATACTTTGTAAAAGTATGCTGATAGTATGAAAATAAATTCATTTGGATAAATTTATCCTTAAGAAACCATCACAAGTTTTTTTTGGGGGGGTGGGAGTAGAGGAGGGAAGGTAATTACAAATCTGATTAATAAATAGTAATTTTTTTACTTATCCATAACTTTCGATTTTGTACTTTAGTCATAATCTTTTCAGTCTTTTGTAATACCTTGAAAGTATTAACTTTGTTATCAAATCCTGTCTGTAGTAAATATACATTGCCTGCTGTAGTGTGTAAGATCTGCCATTCATCTTTAATACTGGAAAAGCTTATTGCTCAATACAGCATAAATTAATCATTTAAAAAATGATTTTATGTGGAATTTTTAACATTTTGTTCAGCATTAACAACTTTAAGAATATGTCACCTCTTACCTCTCTTCTTTCAAAATAAATTGTGATATGATGTAAAAAAGGTGCAAATGTAATCAAGAACAGGCATGCAACAAAAATAAGAAAAGCATTAAATTGGCCACAATGATTACTAATATCTTTATGCAGCATCACTCCATCATCATGCATCTACATTAGAGGTGGGCAAATATTTTTAACTATGGACCAAAAAGTCTTATTTAGTGCAAATGTGAGCAGAGCATTCGCAAGGGACAGTGGTTAGTGTGGTATAATATTTAATATTGTTGGCAGCACTAAAATTATACTACATTGAATGGCAACAGTCATTGTTAGTTTAAATATTGTTCTTATAATGTAACAATTGTTTTATGTGCAATTTTAGTTGATTAAAGCTTCATTTGAGCTTCTCTAGGAGAATGATTTATTATATTTATAACAATTTAATCTAAAATTAATTTATACTTTATTCTTTTGCAAAATGGAAAACCTATTGGAACCAGAAAGATTTGTTGTTGACCCTGCCTGTGTTGGAGCGGAATCTAAATGGAAACACTGGAAAAGAACTTTTTCAAATTTTCTCACCAAGTGAAGGAGGCAACTGAAGAAAGAAAACTACAGCTGTTATGCAATTTCGTATCTGCAAGTGTGTGATAATGCAATTAATGTCTGGATTCGTTGTACATTGCTAAAAGAAATGAAATATTTGCCCAGCACTGTTTAGCATCCAGATTTCAACAAACGGGTGAGTCTGTAAATGAATATTTACAAATATTAAAACAGTTGAGCAAGGATTGTGAATTTAAGTCTGCTACTGTATGAGTATGAGTATATTAGAGATGCATGAGTATATTAGAAACTCATATAAACATGAGTATATTAGAGATGCATTCATCCAAGGTTTGAAGAACCCACACGTTCGAGAACGGTTATTAGAAAATGCCAGTATTTCTTTAGAAAAAGCTTATGATCAAGCTAGAGCCTTAGAACTTGCTGAACATCATTCTGCCTCATATTTAATATCTTCCTCAGCACTGCTAGCTGCTGTTGAACAGTGTGAGAACAAAACTGACGATAGTGAACAATTGGCAGTAGTTGCTCTTATTCGATCCAGAAAATGTTTCTTTTGTGGCAAACATCTTCATTTACGAAGTATTTGCCCAGCTAAGGATGCAATATGTCGAGGATGTGGTAAAAAGGGCCATTACCAAAAGGTATGCAAATCCAAACTTGTATGCAGTACTACTAATCACACGGCGGCAGTTTATACACTAGCATCAGTTTCAATGCTTCCTCACTGTCTTGAATGATCAATAACTAAAGTCGTAGTAAATGGAGTTCAGCTGAATGCCCTAATTGATACCGGTAGTTCACTAAGTTTTATAAATCAGTGTTTTGTAAAAAGGTGTCAAATTAAAGTAAAACCATATTTTGGTAGAATAACCATGGCTAACTCTTCTCTAAGCTCAGATATTACAGGCTGTTCTTTAGTTAATATCAAATTGTAAACCCATGTATACAATAATGTAGAGGTATTATTTATGAAAAACTTTTGTGCAGACTTTCTTATCAGGCATGATTTATTAAAAGATCATTCTTCTGTTGAGATAGAATTTAAAGGTGACAGACCACCTCTTAGAATTTGTTCATTAGCAACTGCTCTTGTAATCCCTGTGTCATTGTTCTCTAATTTAACTCCTGATTGTAGACCTATTGTTACAAAGTCAAGACGCCAAACTGAAGAAGATAGACATTCATAGCTACAGAAGTATGTAAATTACTTAAAGAAGGTGTAATTGAACCAAGTAATTTTCCTTGGCGTGCACAAGCTTTTGTTGTGAAAGGAGAACATTATAGACCCAGAATGGTAATAGATTATTCGCAGACTATAAACAAATTCACTATGCTTGATGCTTACCCTCTTCCCAAAATTGAAGAGTTGATTTCACAAGTATCAAAATATAAAATATTTAGTACAATTGATCTCAGAAGTGCTTATCATCAGGTTCCTATCAAAGAATTAGAGAAACACTATACTGCGTTTGAAGCTGATAGTAAACTCTATAAATTTCTACGTGTTCCATTTGGTGTAACAAATGGAGTTGCTTCTTTCCAAAGAACAATTCATGAAATAATTTCAAATGAAGAATTATCAGGAACCTTGCCTCACCTTGATGTTGTAACTATATGTGGCAAGAATGAAGCTGAGCATAATAATATCTTGGAAAGATTTATGGCTGCTGCTGAGAAGTGTAACCTGACCCTGAATGAGGAAAAATGCGCATTTTCCACGAAATCTGTAAAACTGTTAGGCTACTATATAGCTAATAATATAATAAAACCTGATCCTGATAGACTGAAACTGCTAATGGATTTACTGATTCCTAAAGATGTAGGATCTCTACAGAGAACACTGGGAATGTTTGCTCATTATTGCCATTGGATTCCCAATTTTTCTGAAAAGATTCGCTCTCTTTTGACTAGAGGACCTTTTCCCCTTAGTAAAGATGCCGAGAAAGCCTTCAGTTCCCTTAAGAGAGATATATCCAAAGCTTCTTTAGCTGTAATTGAGGATAATATACCATTCAGAGTTGAAACTGACGCTTCTGAATTTGCAATAGGAGCAACCCTGAGTCAAGCTGGTCGTCCTATAACTTTTTTCTCGAGAACATTAAACTCTTCCGAACAAAAACATTCTTCTATTGAAAAAGAAGCATATACTATTGTTGAATCTTTACTAAACTGGAGACACTATCTAATTGGAAGACACCTTAACGTTTTTACTGATCAAAGATCTGTGGCATTTATGTTTGATCAACAGCACTCCAGTAAAATAAAAAAATGAGAAAATTATGCATTGGCGGTTAGAACTTGCTTGTTTCAAATTTGATATTATATATCGCCCTGGAAATAAAAATAAAATTGCAGACACTTTATCAAAAATAAATGCAGCTATAAAACCGCAAATAGATCTAAAGGAACTACATGATGAACTTTTTCATCCTGGAATTACTCGAATGTATCACTGGGTAAGATCTAAAAATTTGCCTTTCGCACTAGAAATTAGAACTGTTAATTCATGTGTATGCTGCAGTGAAGTAAAACCTCATTTCTATAGATCTGATGGACACTTAATTAAAGTCAACTGCACCTTTTGAAAGACTAAATCTAGATTTCAAAGGTCCTTTGCCTATGGCTTCCAGAAACCGTTTCCTTCTTACTCTTGTGGACGAGTTTTCAAGATTCCCTTTTGCAATACCTTGCCCTGATATGTCATCTGCTACTGTTATTGCTCACCTGAAAAATATTTTCTCACTTTTTGGGATGCCAGCCTACATACATTCTGATAGAGGATCTTCATTTATGTCTCGTGAATTAAAATGCTTCTGAACTTCTCTTGGTATAGCAACAAGTCGCACAACTGCATATAATCTTCAAGGAAATGGCCAAGTAGAGAGGCATAATGGAATCATGGAAAACCATCCAGCTGGCATTAAAACCAAAGAACATGGCTATCGAACGTTGGGGGAAGCGTTCTGCAACCTGTTTTGCATTCGATTCGGTCACTCTTATGTACAGCAACAAATGCCACACCACATGAACGTATGTTCATCCATGCTAGAAGATCATATAATGGATGTTCTCTACCTACTTGGTTAACACAACCCGGAAGAGTATTAATGAAGAACCATACATGAGCTAATAAATATGAGCCTATTGTGCAGGAAATGGAGCTCATTGAGGCTAACCCAGATTATGCTTGCATTAAACTTCCAGATGGTCGTGAAATCAATGTTTCAATATGATATTTAGCACCCAGAGGAGGTACTCTTATACTTGCCCATGATATCGGGTTGGATGAAAACCAACAACTTTCAGATTCTTTTGCTCAACAGAATGAAGATCTGGCCACTTAGCTCCTGAACCCGCATCGAAAACTGTAAGAAAATCGACAGAAGAGGATCCCAAAGGCAGTGATTTACGGTGCCCTAGCAGACAAGAGGATTTTGAAAATACTTCAAATGGTAACTTGTATGAGGTGAATCCTTGCGTCCAAAAAGGCAGAGACGTCAGCCTTTATCTGGCAGACTATGTAACTTATTAATAATCTTTGGGAGGGATGAATGTGGTATAATATTTAATATTGTTGGCAGCACTAAAATCATGCTACATTGAATGGCAACAGTCATTATTAGTTTAAATATTGTTCTTATAGTGTAACAATTGTTTTATGTGCAATTTTAGTCGATTAAAGCTTTATTTGAGCTTCTCTAGGAAAATAATTTATTATATTTATAACAGTTAGCAAGACGATCTTTTGCAGTGCCCGTATTTTCCAGGACATGTGAAAGGAAAGGAAAATTCATCCAATTTTTTTTTTGAAAATTACAATTAAAAAACATTTTATACACTGAATTTGTTTTCTTTTTGCTTTCAATAATCCCAGATGGTGAACAATATGTGACGACAGTCCTCTATGCACGTCAACCAATGAAATATAAATTATACACTTAAGTTTCAAGGAATATAAAGGAAA